TCGCAACACAAGATATGGAACAGATCCGTGCGTAATGTATACCCGGAAATTGCACAATAATTTGGGAAAAAATGTTTTAAAAATTGCTGACAAACACCAATATCTCCCAAAATCCGTAAAGCACGTGCAAAGAACGACAGAGAACATGAAGGCTGTATTTGTGAGATGTGTTCTTTACTGTTTTTGAACAGGTTGGTATCTTTGTTTCAAAGTGGCAAATCAGTTAATGTTGGTAACGTTTCTTTTGGCCCTCAGTTTAGTATTAACGTCTTATTAACGTACGTTTTTGTGTATATGAAGGGGGGTTTCTAGTCCGGACTACTGCCAGTTTTATAGTGCTAGCCCACTGAGATACCATGCCGCAGTTTAACATGGTTACCCAACTAGGACACATACTACTAACTCTGCGCCGAGTCCATATTTTATCCCGTTACTAACCTATTATCCCAGGATAACAAGAACAACATCTTTGAACGTCTATTGGAATGACGCGGTCGAGAATCCAGCCATCGACGTTCCGCTCTCTGACTGACGCTGTATCCACTAGACCACGGAGGTGGTCCACTCCAGCGGAGCCATACATACCTTCGGCCTATTTGTAAATAACATGCACCACAATTGTGTTCTCTGAAAGCTGCAGTAAGGACGAGTCATCCGTTGCCCGAACACCTGGTGTCTCAACCCAAAGTTTTAAAGTGAGTCACGGATGAATAAAAGCTTTAAAACCCTATAAAAACAGATTCCATAGGGCGTAAAAGGCAAAATGCCTGTGAAACGCCAGGTCTAACATCGTGGTTAGCATGTTCTGCCCAATCTGTAGTCCGCCATTCACACAATAAAATATGTGTTTGTTGCCAGGCAAAAAACGTGTCTGCAAGAAGTCCATTGTGACGCTTTAATCTTTTTTCATGTGACAGGCACGAATCGGGTGTCTCTCGGCATTTTAATTAGACTAGTATCTCTCACTCCAGCATGCATTTCCGACTAAAAACTTTAAATCTCAATATAATTTTTTTCTCTGTTTCCATTCTTCCACACATTAGTCCTTCTGCATTAGTTCCGACCGTCTATTCATTAAACCCGATTTCCATTGTAATACATTAATCACCACGCGACAGAAGTGTAGTGCTTCCGCTGACCGCCAGGGGGCTTTAGTGCATGCATTGTTGTACCACTCCGCGTTGTTAGGCGAACCTACGTATTATTTACCCATCACTGCGCGTAGAGATGTGTATCTTATTCCAAGTCCATGATCCTATTATGTTCCGACTACACTCTCTTTGGTAAAGGTTGTTCGTACCTTCCTGTAGATACGTCTTTCTGATTCCTGCCTACATTAAGTCAATACTACCACCACGGCTTGAAAGCATCTTTCTAATCTGCCCATTACAGAGCGAGTGTTCATCGTGTTCCATAAGCCCTCGATGAATGTGGCTCTACCTGTGTAAAAGCAAAATCATTTACGGGGATAAAAGGATCCGCTAATTTGACGGGACTATAAACTTGCACGGCATACAAGCCGGAATTAGACAAAAAGTTAAAAGCAAACTCTTTATGATTCACCTAGAAGTAAATGCGAAAAGATTCGGCTGACAGGATTTAGATGAAGCCATTATGCTGTGTTTGGTCGAGTTGAATAGGCATTACATGTGTTCGTGTGATTGATACACCGTTGCGAACTTCACAATGGGGTTCTCAGAGACAGGCTAAGCGAGACGGGTGTTCCTGAGCGCTGTCCCTTCGTTTCCTGGAAGTCTTGGAGTGTTGGAATTGTCTCTCGTTTGGCTGACAAGAGAGGACAATGGTGGACTGAAATGTGGCGCCATCTTGAATCTGGGTCTGACAGGTCGCAAAAGAAATGAATGAAACTGACAAATGTATTTTGTTTCTTCTTTGAAATATAAATCAGGGATCGAAAACCAAACAAAGCAAACAGTGTACTTTGGTGGTCTGTGAATCGCACGTCAATGTGCAGAGATCGGGGAAATTGCGTGGCATGTTTACGGTTTTGAATTGGTATAAAAAAAAACTAATAGAGAGACAAAGGTTATCGATCGAGAGATGCTATTGACTAATAAATAAAATGTGACACAATTTGAATAACATTTAAAACCTACAAAATATCAATTCAAAATAATAAAAATCGTTAACTTTGAATTGTCAAGTGATTTCGTTCAGGATATCATTTACATATATATGACCACCTTCTTGTCGCATATCAAATTCAATACACGTGCCAACGAGAACATTGCTGTGCCTTTGTTGATTATTTTACACAGTTAAAACTGTCAGTTGCATTTCTCGAATAATCAACTTTCGAAGAACGTTGTGGTAATTGATGTTTAGAATGTTGAAGAATCTTCAAGGTTTAAATAAGGAAAACTCACTTTAAACCCCTAATTGCATCTGACAATAAAATCTGCTTTGACAAAAACTGTTGGGATATGGTAAACTTTTAATACTTTATATGCCCACGTATTTAACGTTGACTGGCGATAGCGACACAAAGTGACGTGGTTTAACGTTGACTGACGTTAGTGACACAAACAGAAAGTGACGTGGTATTACCGTCTTAACCTTTGTAATATTATTCACGGTAAACTCAGAAAGTAATTTAAACATTACGAAGAGCAGAACTCTCTCTTACCGAGGTGATCGCTTGTTATTTGTCATATAGGGAACTTAAATTGGCTCTAGAGGACTAGAGCATATTTCAAAGACAATTAGTTGGCGATCTGACAAAACGCCATTCATCGTCAAATGTGATGAATATCGGGGTTCCTGAGATGCATGGCACATGAGTTCACTTTATCGATTTTGTTCTGAACCGGCTTACGTCACCCGAGTCTCAGAGTACTACAACTAATCGCTCTACATGTACATGTATGTGTTGGACGCGTATCAATACAAATGAATATCTGCTTTAGCAAAAACCTTTCTCCTCCTTTGGAAAGCCTTGAACATATCTATTACGCTGGAAGGCACAAAAATAGACACATTTCAAAAATCACTTTTACATTTTTGTGTACTAATTTTTTTGCTTTCAAGAGTAATTTCCTCTGAATTGAAACTTTTTGCCTCGACGGAGACTATCTCGTTGGGCTAGATAAGGCAATTCGAGAATCCAAATGGGTCCATTATAAGATTGACACAATTAATCGGAAACTAAATACAAAAAAAGAACCTTAACGGTGTTGATAACTGACAAAGAATAAAATCTTGATAGCAGAATTAGTGGCTAATGCTGTTCTAATGACTGCAATTTGTCTGAACATGGACAGTGTGTCTACCCCTTCTGTTTCAGCTCGCTGTGAAGTTATCTTTTGATAAGTTAATGCATCCCGACCCTGACGCCGCTCCAGCATCCAACAACATGGCGTCCTCGATGACCACCTTTCTTCCGTCCATTCAAACAACATTCACTGGTGGCACCCGTCACAAATACATGCAAAGGCAAGTCAATGATTCACCCAAAAACACAAGGACATCTGGTACAAGTCAAAACAGGGAATTGTATCGTCCATCATTTTTGTCTCTCATGAGTTAAATATAGAAATGTGTCCACACTAAATCGTTTTAAAAGCTGTAACTATTTCATTAGTGAATGAGTGAGTTGGGATTGTCACGGCGTTATTTGATGGACACACTATCAAGGCGCGGACTATGAACGACTCAACGCTGAGAACGCGATAGAACAACACAATTGTTTACAGTATAGGGATATCAGATATACCACACATAGAAATCAGTATATAGCCCATATTCCAGTGCTTCAACACTACACAGCATCAAGGAAAAGCTAGACACCCATCAATGACATAACCAACATCAGATATACCACACATAGAAATCAGTATATAGCCCACATTCCAGTGCTTCAACACTACACAGCATCAAGTACACGCTAGACACCCATCAATGACGTAACCAATATCAGATATACCACACATAGAAATCAGTATAATCAATATTCATCAACCGCCTCATCCATTCCATGTATCGACGTTGGACGGCAGTCATCAATGCAAATGGCGGACACAAGAGATACTGACTTGTGATGCCGTTTTCTCAGAGACTAGTGTTGTGTTTCACTTTAAGAACATTTGACACTTTAATTTCAACCATGATGATCAGTTTAGCCAAGTTTCATCTTTTTAATATGTCTCAAAGTATGTTTACAGTGCTTGGACAAATACAGTTTCTCATATATCTATCCATGGTGATGTTTCTTTTGTGGTTCAGTATATATACTGATAACCCTAGACCTACACAAGTCTCTAAAGCAAGAATATTAGTTTAAACCATAATTCCCAGACTATATAATAATAAAAACAAGGTGTCCCCATAAACAACTGGCATCCTTAGAGTACTGTCCCCATAGACTTGCCTATTAAAAGGTTAGAATTACTACACATCCATGGCCTTATTCAGTACAGACTTGAAGCAAGGCTATGCTAGCCCCCACAACAATGGTTTGATATAGCAGTTTTAACATTGGTATACATGGTATATGGGCATTTTTTCCATATACACATATACCCACTATGACATACTTGGATAGGTACAAGAGGGCTAGTGTCTCATAAGACTATATACTGAAATAAAAATATCCAAGAGCTCCCAATCAAGTGTATAATGCTTTGCCAAATATAGATTTTTCCTGAAAATGAAGAGTTCAAACAAAATGTAAACCAACTTTCATTTCAGAGGCAATATGTTAGCGCCATATTCGCCATAATAAGTGCCCCGGGGGCATGGAAATTGACAATGGGGGTACAAAAACCAGGCACAAGTTAAATTTGTTGTCAGAGGAAAAGCGATAGAGAAGAAAATTGGTTCCAACATTGGTGACACCAAACTTTGTTTGCTTAATAGTAATATAGTGATGTAAAATAAACAAACAAACAAACAAAACAGTACCTTACCATGCGAATGTATTCCCAGGGCGGGGTGCTTAATATGGCGAATACAGCTGCTACCATTGGTATAAAATCACCTACCTTACACAATCTTCCATCTTGAAGTAAATATCAAGTTGCTGTGAGGTTTGTCTGAAGGATGTGACAGAAGGCTGTGTCAGAAGGATGTGTCAGGAGGCTGTGTCAGGAGGCTGTGTCAGGAGGCTGTGTCAGAAGGCTGTGTCAGAAGGCTGTGTCAGAAGGATGTGTCAGGAGGCTGTGTCAGAAGGATGTGTGGAGAGGTCATGTCAGTGGCTGCACAGCCATGTTGGTCTGGGTCTGCAACAATGTCCAACACAATGAACACAACTAATTGACAGCCAAAGGAAGAAAGATAAACCATAATTAATATACAAATGTTAATGCCCTGATATCAAACTACAAATTGAATTTAATTGAAATATATAAATAAGGTGTTAATATGGGATTTTTCCTCGTTCAGGATACTAGAAAAATTACAGTACTGTCAACAGGGTTATAATCAACTGGTAACATGAATGACTAGTGCGGACAACGTTATTAACTTTAAGGTTACGTGTTTAGAAAAAAGAAGAGATTTTAAAGATAAAAAAGATGAGACAATGAACTGTTTCCTTGGGAGTGGGAGCCAGGGGGGAGAGGGCCGTGGTTGTGTGACATCGGGTCAGCAGGCCTGTACAGCAGCAATGGAATAAAGACAAAGAACTTGGTCAATAAATGGAGCATAATGAATGAATACTCATAATAAAGGAATTGTTTTTTGTCAGAAATACGGTAGTTGAATACTTAGGTTTGTTTACACTGTTTGGGCATGGTCAGTGTGTGAAGTTACGCACTTGTAATACATACAAGAATACAGTGAGCACGGGGCCTGCTTCCACGCCACAAAAACAATTGGAATGTGCACCAGAGGGCGGCAAATACAGGAGACAATGTCTTGGAGGCCTGCGAACGGTCAAGGCACGTGACATGGTTTCCAACATGCTTCCTCCCTACTTGACAGAATGGCAGCTACATGCAAGAAATACAAACTGTTGAGTCAAATATACGAAGGAACTTACAGCTGTCCCTGACCAGCAATGGAGATTTGACCAGACAGAACCAGCATGTTGGTGATGCCGGGCACAAGAAACGTGCACGTGGCCAGCTCATGGAGGCCGTTTGTGATCTCGCCTGTGATTGGTGCTTGCTGCTTCCGGTTACGGAAAGGCGGGTGATCGGTTAGACTTGCTCCAAGTCTCTACTGAATGATAAGTACATTATAATGGATTATAATGGACTTGTCTACAACGAGGCCAGTCTTTTATAGGGACAATGTGCTCTTATTATTGATGTATTTAAGGAATTACGATTGGAACTAATAACCATATTCTAAGAGACTTGTGCAAGTGTAGTAGTGGGTGAAATGGAGACCATGAGCTGGGCAGACGCCCACATGTGGTGGGTTTGTGTGAAAAGTGGAAACGAGGAGAAAAGAGTTGACCCATGAGGAAGAAGATTTAATTGAGACAATGGTTGATATGAAAAATAAAGAATAGTTATGCAATAATCTGTTATTACAGAAAACATAAGACATCAAGGTAAATGTGGGACTAATTGCTGACATCATTCTTCTGTCAAATGTTACTGAAATTACATCATAAACGACATTCATGCTGTTTATCCCATATCCTGAAGGAGTACAGTTGAGTTCAACGATGTGATGTAGGTCTTAGACGTTTACAGCTTAGACAAATTCCATGAGCATGGGTATGGTGGTGACACACTTAGAAACAAAATCAGGACAAACTAGGCATTCATTTTTAGATTTACATATAGTCTCTTTAATAAAGTTATGCATACGGTTGAATAAACATTATTCCACAAGAAACCACCCAAGCGTGTTAATTCCAGGCTAGATTCAAGAACGGGATAAGTATCGGATGATATAGTGAGTGAGTGAGTGAGTGAGTGAGTGAGTGAGTGAGTGAGTGAGTGAGTGAGTGAGTGTTAACGCTGCTTTGAACACACTACCAGTTATATCACGGCATACAGGCTGATACAGCTGAGAATGGGATGAGTGAGGGTTAACGCTGCTTTGAACACACTTCCAGTTATATCACGGCATACAGGCTGATAGAGCTGAGAATGGGATGAGTATGAGATGAGTGATTGAGTGAGGGTTAACGCTGCTTTGAACACACTTCCAGTTATATCACGGCATACAGGCTGATAGAGCTGAGAATGGGATGAGTATGAGATGAGTGATTGAGTGAGGGTTAACGCTGCTTTGAACACACTTCCAGTTATATCACGGCATACAGGCTGATAGACATGTAGTGCTGAAATACTTTCAGATGTTGGTGACACAATTAGTTCAAGTTGGGAGTTGTCCCATTGAGGTGAGATGAGGTGGAATGGGGTTTAACGTCGCGTCCAAGATTATTGCACCTATATAGCGACGTGCATGCACATGTATGTTTGTGGCTGCTTGTACTAGTCTAGACTTAATGCCGATGCCAGGCAAGGAAACAACAAGCACCATCCTTTACCGTCCCACCAGGGGATTGAAGCACCGACCTTGCACTCTCCCTGTCTTATAAGCGCATGTGTGAGTGAATGAAAGTTAAACAATGAAGTCAGCAATATTCCAGCATCACCACGGCAGTAAATAAACAAGTCTAGGACATGGTATAGGGACAAGGAATATGGACATGGTATATGGACATGGTGCATAGACATGGGTTATGGACATGGTATATGGACATGGTATACGGACATTGGTTATGGACATGGGTTATGGACATGGTATATAGACAAGGTAAAGGGACATGCACTGCTGAAACACTTCAGATGTTGGTGTCATACTTTGTCAGGAACAACTGCAATCGTCTCTCCTACAGACACTGATGAAGAAATAACTGAAATCTCCCAAGCAAGTCTACTAAACAATGGAAAAACTCCTGAAAATGAAGAGATTCTCTGGAACACTTCGTATCATATGTTGCCATGGGTGCAAGACAATTGAAACAAAAACATAAACATAGAACTAAATGTTAGCTGTAGTAAGCACCCCGGGAGCTTGGCAAATTGACAAAGTGTGGCGCTTATTGAAACCAACCATGAGTGACATTTGTTGTCAGAGAAGAAGCGGTGCTCGAAACTTGATAAAAATGGAATGGATTTTCCAAAAATTACTTTGGATCACTTAAAAGAGATAGCTAACCCATGCCCTACCACACAGCTAACCCTAATGATTGTAAAGGGTTACCTAACCCTAATGATTGTAAAGGGGTACCTAACCCTAATGATTGTAAAGGGGTACCTGACCCTAATGATTATAATGGGGTACCTAACCCTAATGATTGTAAAGGGGTACCTAACCCTAATGATTTTAAAGGGGTACCTGACCCTAATGATTATAGAGGGGTACCTGACCCTAATGATTGTAAAGGGGTGCCTAACCCTAATGATTGTAAAGGGGTACCAAACCCTAATGATTATAAAGGGGTACCAAACCCTAATTATTATAAAGGGGTACCTAACCCTAATGATTGTAAAGGGGTACCTGACCCTTATGATTATATAGGGGTGCTTGATGGGAAAGGGGTGCCCAACCGATGATCGTAAAGGGGTGCTTGATGTGAAAGAGTTGCAGGTAACCTACCCTAACACAAACACAACCACAACTTGTCCTGATGACTGAAGAGGAACACAAAACCTGTGAAGAGGGTGCCACAATCAGTAGCCTTAGCCAGTTAGTGCTAATTAAGCCTGGACCAGTAAACTGCATTTTTGACAATAACAGTTATTCCTTCACCATTGCTGTAATATACACACACAAAAAAGGACCTGTCACGTAAATCAATATTTGACCACAAGTCTGCAACAAACGCCTCTACAACTTTTCAATTTGAAGCTCCCAAATTTGGAACAATAATACAATTTCTTTCCCAATTTGACTACCGAGGGAACAAACTTAAAGGTTTTGGAATTCCAGATAAATCCTTGCTATTAATAGAGTGGGGTATATAAATATCATGGAGTAGAATGAGACCAAAGTATAAAATCGCCTACCTTTCACAATGTTCCATAAAGAAGAAAATATCAGGGCTGTGGTAAGTTGTGTCAGGTAAGTTGTGTCAGGAGATTGTGTCGGCGCCACACAGCCATCTTGGGTCTGCAACAATGTCCAACACAATGAGAACAAGTGATTCAGAGCCAAAACAAGTTAAAACATAATTACTCCACCACTCTTAATGCTCTGATACCTTGGTAACCAACAAAAACATCAATTTCTTGGATATAAAGGTTTGAATAAAGATGTCACTTTTCATGGTTCGTGATACTGGAATAATTACAGAACCGTTAACATGGTTACACTCAAGTGGTAACACAAAGAGACTAATGTCAACAATATTATTGACTTTTACATAAGGTTTTAGAAGAACAAAAAAGCAGATGCTAAAGGTAATAATCGATGATACAATGAACATGACAGTAGATGCATATGTTACCCAGCTCACAATCACTCAGCTTGACTGAAAACAGCGAAGGAATCTGGGTCAGTATCTCTGTATTCGTAAGAACATGCCTGACAAAACTTGTATTCTCATCAAGTTTGCAACTTGGCTTGGCGCAACAGATACAACATACAACTCATCGACTATTATAGGCATAGTTACAATAGAGTGTCTATGTACCAACTTAGTTCTCTCTGTTATTTATGTCAACACTGGTCTAGATGACATGAACCCCTTCTACAATAGTTATTGATCAACAGAAAGGTTAACGGGATCAATATTAAGTTTCAATAAACATAAGAACCATAAATCCTATCAATAAAAATATTATCCATTATTTACATACAGTACAAGAAAAGTAGCTATGCTTCAAGCAGTATGTACTGGGAAATGAGTTTAACAGAAACTCTGCATGAAATATCAAGTGTTTTACATGGAAATATACTACAGAATAATACTATGTACTATGATCAACTATGGATAACAAGAAATTAGACATGGATAGTAATAAATGGATTTTGATTGAAAAGCATTACATTATAACATTACATTACAATACAATTGAAGCGCCCTGCAAATCACTATTGAATGAAGACAATCAGAGTTGTCTCCCATGCCCCCAGGACAGATTCCATTACAATGACTATGGGAAGTTGAATTGATGTACCTAATGATATAGAGGGGATAACTGACACCAAGTCTACAACAACCAGGGAGGTAGTTTATATTCTGATTCTACAAGCTTCAATGTCTACTAGATCTGGTACTACGCCCAAAGCGTGTACGTGATATGGGGGAAAGTCTAGGTTACCCTACGTACATCATTACTTATATTGCAGCCTTATTTTGACCATATTTTGTAATACAAACCAGAAAACAGTGAAGGGATTTGTGTCAGTATATTTGTATTCATAAAAACATGGCTGACAAAGCTGCATCAGCCGATGAGGTAAACGCATTTGGTCATGAGGTGACGCGAAGTTGCTTGAACCTGGAAGAATGACAGAGTTGTTCCCCTTTGCCCATTCCTGAGACAAGTGATACATGCTTAAAGAATTACTGTCGGCAAGATTTCCAGCAATGAGAGACCAGTATTAGTTTGAATATGGGGCGGGGCCTTGAACAAATACATTTTCAACAGAAAAAAGTACTATATACAACAAAAATACTCATGATAAAGGGACGTGTTTTTGTAGGAAATACGGTAGTTGAATACTTAGATTTGTTTACTGAGGGGTGTGGTAAATGGTGCATGTTGATTAATGATAACATAGAGCAGTTCTTCTGTGGGATGAAATACGGTACAATTACTGTTATAGGGCGTGGTCAGTGTGTGAGGTTAAGCATTTGTCCTACAAACATACTTACAAGAATACAGGAAGCACGCTGCCTGCTTCTTCGCCACGAAAACACTTGCAATGTGCACCAGAGAGCGGCAAAAAGGGGTGACAATTTCTGTGAAGAAAATTAAGAACTTGCAAATAGCCAAGGGAGGAGATGGTTTGGAACGTGCTTCGTCCCTGGTTGACAGAATGGCCACTCTGTGCGATAAACAAAAGACGTGGAGTGAAATATATGAATGAAGTTACCTTCAGATGCATGTGCATAACTGTCCTCTCCGTCGATGGAGATGCGACGAGACCGAGCGAGCACGCTTGGGTGTGGCGATGCCAGCCAGCGACATTCAGCTCCGTGCTCCGCCATGGCCAGCCGATGGAGGGAGGAAATGACGGCCTTTGGCATTAGTGATCTCGCTTGTGATTGGTGCTTTGCTGTTTCCTTCCGGGTGGCTTGGTGCCGGCTATCTAAACTGCGTTTTTTGGTGGTCGGTGCAATGCCCAGATGCCCTCGGTGCTTTGCCGGTTGGTTTTCCGAGTGGCTTGGTGCCGGCTGTCCAAACTGCGTTTTTTGGCGTTCGGCGCTGTCGGTGTAGCCGGTGTAGTCACGTGGTGGATTTGTGTGAAAAGTAGAAAGAAGTAGAAGAAAAACTGGAACTACATGTACGATGAAAAAATGCTATTTCCTATATTGGAAAATAAAGTATAATTATGCAATGACTTGTTTTACAGAAAACAGAAAAGTGTATATAACTGTATGAAACCTGCAGACCAGGTGGAAAGTGGAAAGAGAGTTAAAACTGCATTGAAGGACAACAAGAGGAAATCGCCAGAAAACAAGAAACAAATTATGCCAAATAGTGAAGGAAGTAAAATGAACATTATATTTAAAAAAGAAAAATTGTTGTGAAATTTTCTTAAAAAATGTGATGAAATGAAATACAAGAGAAGAGAAATTACTTCACAATATTGTGTTTGAACCTGAAGCCGAAGCCGTAACTATGGGTAAAATGAACACTTGAAAATTTGGTTTGATTCAAAATTTCAAAATTTCGAAATTGTAGTGAAATTTTCTGAATTTTGTTTATGAAATGTAAGACAATATTTGTTCCTAACGTTTGAAAGCAAAGCCAGAAATCTGGGTGAAAGCGAGCAAAAGCATGTTAAAAGGGGTGCAGAAGCGGGGTAAAAGCGGGGCCTGGATAACGGAGGCAAAAGAAGGGAAAGGGAGAAAAGCGATTGGTTGTAATCATAAGCGAAAGCGGGTTAAAAGCGGGGAAGAAGCGGGTTAAAAGCGGGGCCCGGATAATCGAAGCGAAAGAAGGGAAAGGGAGAAAAGCGATTAATCGGCCCGTGAAAAGGGAGCGATTCGATTGGCCAGGGTTGAGGGGTGAGAGTTGAGTTGGGGGGTTCATGTAAGTGTTAAGAAGTTCGCTAAAAAAGAGTTCCTTCCAAAAAGGGGGTTTGCACCCACTGGGGGTGCCCCCGGGCCAAATCAAGCAGTGCCAAAAGACCGCAGACTGAAACTGGAGACACAGGAACTTTCGAAAGGACCCCAAAGTTACCAAAAGTGGATTTGCAGACGGGTGTGAATTGGCTGGAAAACACCCTTTCTATTAATAAACGTTCGGATATACCGCGATATGAATAAGATAACTTGTGGCCACATTAGCGCTGTGAAATAATACATTCTAGCCTATGCGCGTACAGGATCGTTTGTCTGGCCGTGGGGTAATTTATTTGGAGGTCATAAGCTCGCAACATGTCCCGTTAACCACCAGTGCAGGTTTTCTTCCTGGGGCTTAAACTTGAATACCCTACGTACGTTGCACGTTGCATGGTATTTCAAGTTTTGTAAATACGCAAAAGATGCCTAAAGCACAAAAAACAGATACTATTGATCAATTCGAAAACAGAAAGAGCGACACTCTTTGTTGGGTATGAATAATATTTGTGGAATATTGTATGCTATATTTATATAGATATCACCATTCCTCAGCGCACTTTTTGAACTATAAATTAATAATTGCTTTTAAAATATAAACATAAATGTTTTATTTGTTTTACTGCGAAGTTTATGATCTAATGGTGGAAATTGTAAGTTTGTATGAGCTGTGCTTCAAATGAGCGTTAGTCTGGTGGATGTGAAGCAAAAGCAAGCCCTATATGACAGTGAAATAGTGCGTTAGTGATGAAAGACAGCTTTGAAACACTTTGTTGTGCAGTCATTCTACATGGTGAACTTGTATTAATGAAGACATTCTACATGGTGAACTTGTTTTAATAAAGGCGGTGACTAAAACTCATACAGTGTGGGGTAGAGAGGCTGAATGGCCGTTTTGCTCAGGATAATGTTGCACTTTGTTGGACATAATATACATGGTATCATAGCTACTAAAGTTTCATTCATTAACAGATCATTGTCAGCTGGGAAAGTCATGTGTATTGGCCCGGAACATCAATACACTCCCCCTCCCCTCCCCTCCCCTCCCCTCCCCTCCCCTCCCCTCCCCCCACACACACACATTTTATGTACCATTTTTGCACCCACCCACCCCCCCCTACTCCCCCGCCCCCATACAATAATGGTATAACAGCTATGGCTATTATCTCTCCTGAAGATATTTATATCTATAATTGGTTATTTATGGGTCTTTAAACAGCCGTTGTTGTAATTGGCGGAGCTTACAACGTGAAGATCCGGGGTAGAATAGGTCTTCAGCAACCCATGCTTGCCTTAAAAGGCGACAATGCTTGTCGTAAAAGGCGACTAACGGGATGGGGTGGTCAGGCTCGCTGACTGACTTGGTTGATGCATGTCATCGATGTCAATTGCTTGGATCGATGCTCATGATGTCAATGACTGCATTGTCTGGTCCAGATCGCCGTCATATAGCTGGAGTATTGCTGAGTGCGGCGTTAAACAACACATCCGCCAACCAACCAACCAACCAACCAACCAACCAACTTGTCTTAAGAGGTTGTTGATTCACTGAACTGGGTGAAATTTAAAAAACAGCCGTGTCGGCCTGTGCTTGACGTGAGAAGGCTTGTTGATGTGACTAAACTGAGTGAAGCGGCAGAAAAATATCTGAAAAATAGCCGTTCACAGAAAACAAGCTTCATAGTGCGGCTTCAAGCCCGATCCTAGGTTTGAGGGGCAGCAAACAAATCATTTCCGTTACTTATGTTTTCCAAGAACACTATTCATGACTTATTTTACGACAAGGTAGACGATTCATTCAGCTGTGTATGTATATTTCTATAAAAGTACCCTGAAAAAAAGGAACCTGGCAGACTGGAACCCATGAACTTCATGTTTTAAGCACGACACGTTACCGACTACCCTACAACCAGAACTAATAAATGTAGAGCAATTTTCAGAGTCATATACCTTATCAGTTTGGTAGAGTTAATGCTGCGGCAATGCGTGGGAATATACAAATTGTGGCTCGTTTGTTTCGTTGCAATCTGTTGGTGGTACAATGCCAGGTGAGGTTGTTAGCATGCCCAAGCATCAATGCATCAATTCAGAATATTCACGGTAGACATGTCAAACGAATGTATGCTAGTTAACGGTTGGATGAAATGTGGGAGGATAATAATAGTCTGGAAGAGGATTGGGGTAGGTGGGGAGAGACGAAAACAGATCCCTGTGAGAGCCTGGTGACACATGTGTTGCTCGACTCTAAAATTACTCTCTTTGAAGTAACTGGGGCGGTTGATACAAGTCACTGTGGCAAGGCTCCTGGTGTTGACGGTATCCCAATGGAATGTCTTCAATCACAAAATGTTATTTCGGCTATGCACATTACTTTTAATGTCCGTTTTAACACAGGGAAAATACCTGCATACCAAAGTGTTCTACTTTAGATCCTTGAGATCCGTATCGTCTAGGGGTTTGACTCACCAATTCAAAGTACGAATGATATTGTAAAATTTTAAATAACCGTCTGCAATGTTGGCCTGAAAGTGCAGGAGCTCTAAATGATGCACAAAATGGATTCTGGAAGCGTAGATCAACCATACGGATCATATTCACTCTGTTTGTTCTTTTACTGAAACAAGACAAGGTATTAAAAACACTCTTTTTCTGCTTTCATAAAGCGTATGATAGCATTAACAGAGGTGTGCTGTGGGAGAAATGATGTAAAATTGTTTCTTACACTTCAATTTTTATATGAAAATGTCACATGCAGTGTAGTATAATTGGTATGCTTACACCCTGGTTCAATGTTAATCGTAGTTTAAAACAAGGATGCTTAATGTCGCCAAAACGATTTTATAATTGATTTCCTGGACAAGCTAAATTATACTGGTTTGGGTATTTGTTTGGATGATATCGCTATTGCAGCCTTAGCCTATGCTGACGATCTTATTTTGCTTGCAGAATCGGCAGAGGATTTGAATTTCTTACATAGATTATTATCATAGTATATTACGTTTTGAATACTTGGTGTGTAGACAATAGTATCTTTTTTAATAATGACAAATCAATTATGGTACACTTTAGAAATTGAAGCGTTACCAAAACAATGGCCTTTTAAATATCGGTAACTATGTTTTAGACATTGTTGATTGTTATAATTATCTAGGCCTACTGCTCATGGAACATGTTGACTATACAACGCTATGGCAAAAGAAGCAGAAGCAGCAGCAGCAGCAGCAGCTAAATCGGCTAACAGAGCATGAGGTCTTCTTATATGTAAATATAAGGCAATCGGAGGTATGCAACCACTACTTATTCCAAATTGTATGATAACATGATTTGGCCAGTTTTGAGTTATGGGGCATCTATTTTGGGTCATCGTGATATTTGTTCTGTAAATGCCGTTCACCATCGTGCTTTGACATTTTTCTTAGGGTGGTAAAATACGCTCAAAATGTTGCTGTTAATGATGATATGGGATGGATTCCTCCAATTTTGTTAGACATTTATGTCGTTTTACTAAACTAAAATGTCCTTTAGGTTAAAAAAACAACAGGAAATTTCAAGTAAGGGCAAAGTCATGAACGAATGGGGTGTGAATATTTCTGAGAATGTAAGCGTGAAAAGTGTCGTTGTACGTGTGCATGATGTCTGCATTGGAAAGTATGTGTCTGATTGGAATGAACTGTTATGCAAGCTTGGAGGGAGAATGGCTGGTAATAAATTAAGTACTTGTGAAATGTTGTATGGGTGTGAGAGTTATGTAAGTATGTATGCCTCGTTCTTACGGCTCTGCCTTCTCCAAATGTAAATCAGGTACTGCTCCTCAAACGTTAGAAAAAGGCAGATACAAATACGAATATGAATATTAATGTGAACGTGAACGTAAGAGCGTGTTTTCAGTGTGAGGAAAGTATTGAGGATGAATGTCATGTATTGCTGGATTGCCCTGTGTACGACGATCTGCATGAAAGTTTCTACAAAGGTCAGTTTTAGCTATTCCAACTTCCTAGAGTAACGTAATACTGATAAACTTATTTTACTTTTTTAATATTATGTAGATTTTACAGCCCAAACCTTC